TGTGCTCCAATGAAGTTATATCAAGTTGGCGCAACAATGGAAAGAGTAGCTGTTGACATTGCTGGTCCTTTGCCCCAAACCGATGCTGGAAATGCAGCTTTGGCTATTAGTGATTTCTTCTTCAGATTTGGTATGCCATATGAACTGCATTCTGTAACTTTGAATCAGCTGTGTTCCATAAATGCTGCAAGTTGTTTGGCATACGTAAAACCAGGACAATGCCACTCCACCCACAGTCTGATGGGATGGTAGAAAAGTACAATTGGACAGGAATTGGTAAAGTTTTGTAATAAACGCCAAGATGACTGGGATGTCTTACTCCCTCCACTGTTGATGGCCTATAGGACAGCAAAGCATGAACCACTGGATACACTCCAGCAATATTGATGTTTGGTCGAAAACTTTGGTTGCCAGTGGACCTGACGAAACCTCACGAACAGTTGCCTGAAAATGTGCCAGAGTTCGTGAAAGTGTTATCTGAAAGAATGGATGATATTCACCATTAAGTGTGGTCAAACTTAAAAACATCTGCTGATTCCATGAAGCTATGTTATGATAAGAAATTTACTGAAGTCAGCTTTGTACCAGGAGACAAGATGTGGTTGTATAATCCTAGGAAGACCAAAGGGAAGTCTCCTAAGTTGTCTTCTCCATGGGAAGGCCCATATGACATAGTGGATAATAAAAATATTACTGGTTATTTAGATGAGGGTAAGGATGTGGATTTGGTGTATCTGGATTTTCAGAAGCATTTGACAAGTTGTCACATAAAAGACTTGTTAAAAAATTATATATACAAATGTGGGAGATGGGTTGTCTAATTGGATAGAAAAGTAAGCAAAAGGTTCTTATAATTCATGTAACTCAGGGTCAGTGGTTAAAAATTTGCTCTTTAGATTTACATCAATGACATAGATGAAAGAATGGTCAATAAAACACTTAAGATTTGCTGATGATATTAAGGTCTCGGGTGTTGCTGGTTGTGACAAGGATGTTGCTGCTTCACAAAAGTATTTAGTTCATTTGATGAGTTGGGTGAATAAACGGCAGATAGCTTTTAATGATAATAAATGCAAAGTAATTCATGTGGGGTATCATAATTTTAAATAAAATTTGATGGGAATAACATTAACAGTGTTATGGAAGAAAGGGGACTTGGTGTTCTGGTTGATTAGTCTTTCAAGCCATCCAAGCAGTTTGCTATTGCTAGTGATAGGGCAAATAAGATTTTACATTATATTTACAGAAATATAGAATACATATCTAAAGAGTTTATAATGTCACTGTATAGGTCATTGGTTAGGTCACATTTGGAGTACTGTGTTCAGCCATTGGCTCCTCACCTCAGGATGAATACTGAACGAAAGAGTTATGAGAGAGGCTACTAGGATGATTACATTTGTCACGTCTCTGTTCATTTGTTAAATTCCAGTATAATTTCTTTCGGATGAAACTTTAGGGACACAAGTCCTCTCTTAAATAAAACTAGTTTATTCTTTCTCAATACAACTTTGCAATACACTTAATTTCCACACACGCTATAATTCACAATGATTCATGCACTTTACTTATGGTCACTACTGTGCTTGACTCAATTGTCCGTCCCTATCTCTGCCTGTCTGCAATTCAATTAATTATCTCACTTTATTTGCCTGCTTATATACAGGAATAGAGGGCATCTAGCAAATACTGGATTATTCGTGATGTTCCCCGATCCTTCTTGGTACTCATTACATGTTACCAGCATCATGTGACTTCTGCTGTCGTAACACATTGTAGAACAACAGGTAAAGTTCTCTGAAATTCTTTTCTGAAAAAGTAAGAGTTGGAGGTGATCTGATTGAGGTATCATCTTTGTTAATACTTAATGGTGAGAAAGGAAGGACTAGAGGACACAACTATTACTTTTGGCAAAGTGGAAATAATCTTCAGCTAAGACAGTTTTATTTTTTTATTTGGGTGGCTGGCTATTAAAATATGTTGCCTTCAGATATTATGGATGGCATAAATTTAAGGAAGTATAAGAGAAGGTTAATAAATATTTGAATGATAAGGAATAATTTTTATGGGTTTCTCTTTTCATTTTAATTTAGTTTAGTGGATGGGACAGTCTTCCCTCCTTACCTTGGTAGGTATTTAAGTTTCCAATCTTTTCTAACTTAAAAAAGACAAATCGGGATGCTTGGAGACATTATGTATCTCTTCATGATGGGTTGTATATTGATGAAATGGATTGAATCTAAAAGTTGTGAGTTTTGTGAGATTCAAATGGGATGAATATATAGGATGTAACTGATTTTGCCTTTCCAAGAAATTGGGTTCAAAAATGACGTTTTGTTTTGTCACCACAGGAGCACAGGGGGAAACAAAAGCATAGAAAGCTATTTAGGTTCAATATTGTCATGGGTGAGTTAATGTCATAAAAAGTTCATGATCTGTGAATGGCATACCAGATTCGAAGGAAGTAAAACAAAGTTAAATTAAAAAGAAAAAAAGTAAATCAATGACAAGGAGTGAGAGAAAAAAAAAAGATTTAAATTAAACCGATATGTCCTTGGTTGTCCTTGAATTTTATGTTATCACCAATTTTGGACATAGGCAGTGTAAATGTTTATGATACTACTTTTATGGAGGTGCCAACCAGCAATGTGTTTGTTTCAATAAAAATAAAAAGGGAAACAATTTCTTCATTAATTTGCAGCCAGAAAAACTTACCATTTGAATATTTTGATGGAGTTCAGGGAAAATGTCTCCTAAACTTTCCACAACACATGGTGCAAGAAAAGCAACTGTGCCTTTAGGAGCCTTAAGTCGTACCTTAGCAGCTGTCAATGCTCTCCGTATAACTCTACGCAAACTGTTACTGCAAAATAATAATAATTTTATGACAAAATAATTACACAGAAATAGAAACAGCAAAATTAAACTTGACTCCAATATGCTTGACTCCAAGACACCATCAGTACAACTGTGTGTACTTTTCACTTCATACTGCTAATAACATTATGGATAGTACCAAAAGTACTTCTGGCCACTAAATTTATATTTAAAATGCATGCATAACTGATTCATCATGTTACTGAACCAGAAACTAAAACACAGGTACAATACCATTATATCATCTCATTTTCAGAACTTAAAACTTTAAAAAATTATACAAATATACACAGACTCCATCAAAATTTATACAGCTTACTTTTAAAATGTACCTTATTTTCCACTAAACATTTAGAAAAATCCTGTCAGCTTACAGCATACAATATAAACAGACAAACAAATATGGTATGTAACAGAGTTAGCCCAATGAACTCTAGCTATAAAATTACTATGCCTGAAAAACTAAAACCCTGAACTGAACTAAATAAAACAAGCCATTACTGTTCAACCCAGGCTTCTAGTATAAAAAAAAATTATTGAAATTTCCCAAAATAATCTGCTAATAAGCCTGGCATGGCAGGTATTTAGGAAGGATCAATTAAATGGACAACTGAAAGAAAATCCAAATAATTTGGTTTCCCAGAGAACTTGAGGATAAAGAAAATCCTCCTTCACCCCACACGTGAAAAGAATGAGACACAATGAAACATGAGAAAAAAACAAACAAACAAATATATATATAGACACACACACACATGCATCTACATACATATATTGGTTGGACAGAGAAGCAAAGGAAGGCAGAGCTGAGGCCAAGGCTGCAGGTGTAATTTTGGCAGAAAGATATGACAAAATCACAAAGAATAACTGCTGCTTATTCATGGTGGGCTGGGATCTAAGTATCTGAAGCCCTGACTGGGTTCATCAAATACCCCACAATTTGATGTGGAAGGAAAAGAGAGTGCCTGGAGAAAACCTGCTTTCAGTAGCCCAACTAGTGCCCAAGATATTAACTGGAAGGAAATATATGTAATTACTATATAATGATCTTATACTTGGTTATGATAAATAATAAATGAGTGTTAATGTGGAACAAGAATTATGTAAAAAGGTATCTCATCTATAAAGCTGGCATGGCCACGAGGGAAGGGAATTGAAACATTTAGAGTGTTTCTGTTCTTAGCTTTTCAATAAAATGTTCTGGCTAGTTTGGTTATTTTTTCTCGGTCATTGGGTAGAGGTGCAATTTTGTTATGTATTAGGTGGGGGTATAGAAGGGGAGTCGTAAGGCCATACAAATTACTTGGTTTTGTAGTATTTGCAGCTTGTGGAATATATTATTACCCATATTGCATGCGATTGTGGTGCCATAGTCTATGATGGGTCTGATGTAAAGTTTGTAAATATGCAGTAATGTGTGTACATTGCATTCATGGATCCTGTACCTAATCTTGTATAGATAGTTAATTGTGGTTCGTAACTTAGGAAATATTTCATTGAAATGAAGGGCCCACTTTAATTTGTTATCAGAGATAATACACCAAAATTTCGTCTTTTCAGTGATTAGAATGGGTGTGTTTGCTAGTTTGAGAATTATGTTTCTTAATCGGGGGTATTTCTTCCATAATTTTTTTGGGAATAATTATTGCCTGGGTTTTAGTATAGATTAGTTCCATTCGTCATTTGTATCATTTTGTTTAAGATAATTTGTGCTTTTTGAGCTGCATGTGGTGGATTTAATGAAGTGCTCCAGGTGGCTATATCACCTGCATACTGAGATGTGTGAATGAGTAGGTCACATGGTTTTGATAAATCATTGACGTACATGATATAGAGTAGGAGACTGAGTGCAGAATCTTGTGGTATTCCTGCATTAAATGCATTATTTATTCTGACTTTGGCTGATTGGTTATGTAGAACACCAGATATAAATTTTAAAATACTGGTCAGAAGTTGGTATTTGAGGCCATTGTGTCATACAATGTCATAAGCTTTCCTACAATTTAAAAAAATTCCTACGGTTGTGTGGCTTCAGTCAAAGCCTTTGCATATTGTTTCTGTTAGTCTTACTAAATGATCTGTAGTTCGTCTGTTTTTTTTTTTTCTTGCATTTTGCATGAAGCTTACGAGGTTGTTATTTTCTAAGAACCACAGTAAGCAAGTCGCTACTATTTTTTCAAGGAGTTTACCCAGGCAGTTGAGTAGACTTATGGGTCTAAAGTCACTCTGATTGGTTGATTTGAGGCCCTTTTTTTGGAGGATTACAGTGGTAATGGCTGTTTTCCAATGTGTGGGGTAGTACCCTGATGTTAGAAATAAATTGTAAAGTGCTTTTAAGTGGGGTTTTAAAGCACTAATGGTATTTGTAATGAGGTTGGTGATCTGATCTACACTGGAGGGATGAGTTCTTGAGTTTCTTGGTATGTAGTTTTATCTCAGATTCTTTCATTGGTTTTATATTGTCTGTTGGAGATTTTTTCAAACTGTGTGGGGTATTTACTGGAAATGTTGGAAGAAACTTGGGGATCCGTGTTCATACTGGCAAACTGGGTTCATAATGGAGACCTGTGTTCATACCTGAGACCAGTGTTCATACTGGAGATCAGTGTTCATACTGGAGACCCGTGTTCATACTAGAGACCCGTGTTCATACTAGAGACCCGTGTTCAACTGGAGAATTGCGTTCATGATGGAGACCTGTATTCATACTAGAGAGCTTTGTTCATACTGAAGATTATATTATACTGAAGATTATATTATAGTGTTCACACTTGTTAACTGTTTTCCTACTGGAGACCTTTGTTTATACTTGAGAACAATGTTCATACTGGAGACCTATGTTCATCCTGTTTAAGAATGAATTGTTGAAAAACACTGTCTTAATGTGATGTTACTACAAAAGTCAATACTTTACCCTGCATCATATTCATCAGGAAGAACCCCATCAGAGATGGCCACAGTAAACATACGAGCATGGTCTGAAATAATTCTGTAGCTGGTGTCAATAAAATCTACATCAGATGATCCAACTAGTCCCTGATATGGTCTAACAGAGCTGACCTATAATATAAGCAGAAATTAGGTTTACACAAAAACAATTATCACAATAAAGGTACATACTCAATACTTCATATTCATTGCATACTTCATAACACATAACTCACTACAATAAAAATGGAGTTTTTGACCACAGATTTACATCAGTAGTGTCAGAAAAAGATGCTATTGTATCCAGAAAAAAGATTATTATAAAGAGCCAAGTTAACAAATTTAACTGCACTGAAAATACAAAACTCTATGTGGCTTACGATTCTTTTTAAATATTTTGAACCTCAACATTCACTTTACTATATTGTTGTAGGTTATGTTTTTTTGTTGTTGTTGTTGACATAATCATTTTTATTATTGTTTTATCAGAGGAAACCTTCAAGTCACACAATGAGGGAGTAGCTTAATGATTACAACCTTCTTGAAAGTTTAAGAAAGTTAAGAAAACACAAGTTAGGCCAAAGTACATAAAAACTGAGTTGATAGGAAATACACAAAATTGTATTAAAGTCTACTTAGAACTCTCAGCAAACATAAGTAAAGCTAACTTGTGCAAACTGTAATAGAGGAAAAAAAAATATTTTCTTTATCATTAAGTTGACTGGTCTTAGAATTATTTTTACCAAATAATGCAAAAGAACTCACCTATCAATAGAAACCATAACAATACATTTACCTTCCGAAGTAGAAATGAAACAAAAATCAAAAGAACTCACCTATCAATAGAAACCATAACAATATATTTACCTTCAGAAGTAGAAATAAAACAAAAATCAATAACTCATCTATCAATAGAAACCATAACAATACATTTACCTTGAGAAGTAGAAATGAACTCAACTATCAACAGAAACCACAACAAAATATTTACCTTCAGAAGTAGAAATGAAACAAAAATCAAAAGAGAAAGAAATTTAATCTACAACCAAAAATGCATTAACTGGTGACAAAGAGCATAAAATAATTTCAGAATTAACCAGATAACAGATGAATATTTTAGATGATCTAGTTAAATACTTATAACAGAACTAGAAGTAACAGACCTTATCCCAAATGATGTAGTTAAATACTTAGAACTAGAAGTAACAGACCTCATCCCAAATGATGTAGTTAAGTACTTATAACAGAACTAGAAGTAACAGACCTTATCCCAAATGATGTAGTTAAATACTTAGAACTAGAAGTAACAGACCTCATCCCAAATGATGTAGTTAAATACTTATAACAGAACTAGAAGTAACAGACCTTATCCCAAATGATGTAGTTAAATACTTATGACAGATCTTATCCAAGATGATGCAGTTATATACACTTATAACAGAAATTATTATTTTCCTATACTGAAAATATATTTCCATTAGGTACTTACTTCTTCTCACATGTATAGTTATTCCCTTTTAGTGCTACCCTCTATATGCAAACGTGGTTCAACTACATTTTGCAAGTGAATTATCATGCGACAACCTTCCATCAATAAGAGTGCAACACACCCCCTTGATGCATGTGACTCCCTCTATTCAATTCTACCGAACTGTCATTGAAATTAGGCAAAAATCACCAGTTTTCAATGGGGAGGAAAGGTAAGTACCTATCAGAAATATATTTTCAGTATAGGAAAATAATAACTTCTGATACGGTACATTACCTCTTCTCACAGGTATAGTTAGAGTCCCACATTAAATAGGTGGAGGGACCAGTAAGAGGGATAGAGAATAAGTATCCTTCAAAAGCTTCTGAAGAACATTCATGAAGTGTGATCTCCGTTGGGAGAGGAACACAGGTGGGAGACTGTACAACTTCTGTACCAAGGATACCCTGCACCCAGTGAGGAAATAGGTGTCACATACATGACAGAAAGTGGAAGGAGCACAACCAAAAAGGGAGAGACAACCAGTTGGGTCGGTACTCAATTCACAGTATATCGGAAGCTCAATCCCATAGAAGAGAGATTGTAGAAAAACCATCTACAGACAGGAATGTGAGGAAAGTGAAAATGAAAGTGCTTTAAGGTGTAGAGTGATTAGGACATGACGGACTGTACATGGCTGGTTAACTCCAGTTCAAAATCAAGTGGTATCAGGAATAAAACCTCCAACCCATGGTAAGAGAAGAGTCTACATCATTTTCACCTCAAGTTAAGTAGAATGGAAAGATATACTCTGCAAACTGATCTACAAAACAAGCACATGTGCACAAATCCATAACCAACCACACATCCAGGAACCCAATATCGAAATGAAGGTAGGAATAGATGTGCCCATGTGGTAGGTCATATCAAACTCAATCAGACTGGCACCCCACTGCATAAGTTCAGCCTCAAGCAAGTTGAAGAACTGTTGCCCTGATCAACATCATCCTCCGTGTATGGAATGCACAGAAGCCAGACACAACACCACTCTCGGGTCCCATTGCACAGAAGTGGATCACCTCTAGAAATATACAGCAACCTCATCCTCTGGATAGAAATGTACAAAAGCTGGATGCAACAGCAACCTCTGAAACCCACCACAAAGGGAACAGGAATGGGTGCCCCCATAGTGATTGAAATAGGCCATAATGGTGGAATTGTAAGAATGGAGCATGATATGTTGGTACTGTACCAGTAGAAAAAAAAAAATGAACCAAAGTACATCATACCACCATAATTTCCAAGATGTTGAAATGGTAAGACATTACAATTTGTAACCATTGCTCAGAATCCTCTAGTAAATGGACAACACTCCCCAACAACGAAGAGAAGCATCTGTGATTCAATGCAATTCCGGACAAGGTGGAAGAAGCAGTACTCTCTTTGTTGTGCTGTTCTTGTTCAACCACTAATGCAGATAGCTGGTAAGGGTAATTAGGGAGTCCAAGGGATCCCGAGCAAGATTCCATGGGTCATGTAGAGACCTCTGAAGAAAAAGCATATGTACCCAACCCAAAAGAATAAGGGCTTCTATAGAAGCCCAGAACCTTTTATGCAGAAACTGAGAAAAGAGTAAATGCATGAAGAACTGTGAACACTATAGAATGGAGAAGGATGGGCTCGAATGAGGGGTTGTGGAAAATACACCCAAGTAGATAAGATTGTGGGTAGGCAAAAAGAAACATCACCAACCTTAAAATCCAACCAAAACAAGATGCTACTATTAGCAGCAGATGTGTGTTGAGAAGACTCCAGTTCAGAATGAACTAACAGGAGCCAATCATCCATTTAGTAGTGTAAACACAATCCTAGAGCATGCAGAAGTCAAGCAAAAGCCATGACCACCCAATAAAATACATATGATGCTGAAACAAACCCAAAAGACCAGGCACGAAACTGTGACACAACCCTGTTGTAGACAAACCGAATATAGCACCTAGACTCATTAGAAATATGAATATGGAGATAGGCATTCAAGAGGTTTACCTTGGTCATCCATAGTCCTGGAGAAACCCCCCTTGAGTGTGATAAAGGACTCCAAGAAAAAGTGGTTGAGGCAGGACAGATGGTTCATAGGACAAAAAACAGGACCATCTACAATACTTTTCAAAACCCACACAAATGCATGGAAGGAAATGGGGAAAGGGATGAATATCAAGGGTCAGAAGGAGAAGTAAGTAACATTTTTTATCATAATTGATAAAGCTCTACTGACCAGTAGAAACAAGTAGAAAGTTTTGGACATGGCAGTAACAGATTTTGGAATGTAATATGTAGAAAACAGGTAATGAAGGTATCATGAAAGAGTGGCAACAAGTTGAATGGATAAAAGCTGGAGCAAGTGATTCAGTTTAGATGTTTTCAAAGTATTCCCTAAAGAAGTTGAAACATGTACAATGTAATATCAGTACAAGGACTGCAGTGGTCAAAATGATGTATAGTAAAAGGAAGAAACTGCTCTATAGACAGAAGAATAGAGTTAATTAAAAGATCAGTAAAGATTTTGATTTGTAGTGTGGTGGTGTATCAAGCACAAACAGGGTATTAAACGATTAGAGAGCTTTGAGATTTTGGTTTGATGATTAATGGTTAAAATCAACTCAATTGAATAGATAGGAGGTTCTCAAGATTGTGAAAACAGAACCTATCATTAGTATTTGATGAAACCTTCAACTTGTTTTAATATAAGCTTTTATCTGACTAACTGTCCTCCTTGTCACACAAGTCATCAATATTTGGTCAACCCTGCAAGTAGTACACTAGGTTTTATACAAGTCTTTATCTGACTAGCTGTACCTTCTTTTACAGATCCATATTTAATGAAAACTGAAAGTTATATACTTGTTTTAATATAAGCTTTTATCTGACCAACTGTCCTCCTTGTCACACAAGTCATCAATATTTGTTCAATATTTGTAGACTAGGTTTTTCACAACTCTTTATTTAGCTGTTTGTCCTTTCTTACACAATAGTCATTACTATTTGATGAAAGTTCCATGTAGAACACTGGGTTTGACACAAGTCTTTGTTTGACGAGTTGTCTCCTCTCACACACCACCTGTTACCAACATGAAAGGAAATGTGTATCAAGAAGATCTAGGTATTAAATTATAAGCAACATAAGACAACTGAGTATTTTTGATTAATATTTGTTAAGCTATTGGATTTTAAGGTTTGCTTTGTATAAAGCATGGCTTTTACTTAATTTCAGATTAATATCATCAATAGTTGTTTGTAAATATGCAGATGTACCACTATGCCTGTAACTAGGCTGTAATACAACACTTAAGATGATTCTTTTCCACAAGAATATCAAAACTAAATTTTCAATAAACTTTCCTGAAAATTTGGTGAGAGATATTACAGATCTAGTTCCTAGAAAGGCACAGTACTTCAAAAGTTAAATTTTTAAAATTTGGCTTCTTTGAAGTCCTTTTTTTCCTAATTTCTGACCCATTCTTATTTTTATCCGTATGACACATAATTTATGTGTTGTTTAATGAATGTTAATTGAGAATAATCATTTTCATAGTTAAATTTTTGCAGGATTCCAGGAAATATATGTTACATAATATAAGTAAATTGCATTTTTTTCTTCATATTACACACTAGAGTGCATATAAACTCTCCCCCACTACCCAATACCACATACACACACATTCTTCATATTTATGATTCATATTGAATAATAATTTACTATATCAAAAAATTATTAAGAAATAGACAGATATGTTGAGCTTTTCACAACACATCAGTTCTGTAACTGGAGCTTTTGTAATTATCAGGACACTTTGGAATACAACCAATCAGTTCAGTTACTGGAACTGATATGAATGTAAAGAAATAAAAGCATATGCCATTGATCTACCAGACTTTACTGAAGGGCACATAAGAAGATATTTCCAAAGGAAAAAGGGACATGAGAAAGGCAAGAGTCCCTAGAAGAGACAGAACCTCACACACAGGAAGGGAAGAAGACATAAGAAGCTCCATATGTTGCAAATGTAAACAATAAGGTTGAGTCCACCCAGAAATTGAACTGATATAGGCTCTCAATCAATTATATATCAAATGGGAGATCAATAATGACTTAGGAGGCTGACCAACCAATCCAAATTAGCAGATTCTTGAAGGAGAAGGGAGGTCACAGCAGATGATTCATCCTAGGATGGCTAGGAGATTCCAAATATTCATACAGTGATGTAAATCCAGACCTCATGAGTACATTCTCTATATTTATTCTCAGAACTTTGGTTTAAACACAAACAGTAGCCCCCAAAGACAAAGGAAGCTCCTGAGAGAAAACCTAAGGTTTTCTACAAAATGAGTCCATAGGTGGACAAAGTTTAAGAGCCAAGCACTACAGAACCAAAGACAGTGGAGTGGTTCCAGAAACAATTAATCACCAAGCCCCATGATAGCTAGCCTCTTGGGAGAAGGGACACTAGGAAGTGGTCACAAAAAAATGTAGCTCTAAAGAATTCTACATGAAGGAAGTGTGTCAAATGAAATTCCCTGAGACAAAACTTAAAAAGCTTAACACCAACACATACAGTATCCTAATAAAGCAACTCCCAGAAGCAAAAAAAGTAAGTTGGTCAACAGTTGAAGAAGAAAACAGGACAGTAAGAAAAACTTGTTGGTATAACCTTTACCAGTAGAGCTGTCAGATTAAGATGTAGAGACTCAGAAAGGAAGAGGAAATAGGACAGTCAAGACAAGAAACAAACATCAGCAGGTTTAGAATAAAAGTCAAAGTATGAAAAGAAGAAAATTCTCAAGCTTGGAGAAGAGATTCAAAGAAGAGAAGTAGAAGAAATGAGGAAGAGTTCCAACCACAAGCCACAGAGGAGAAGTCTTAGGTTCAGAGATGATGTGGCAACTGAGAATCAACATGAAGCAGGGACAGAAAGAAATTTATGACTATTTCTCGAGAAATAATGAACATTGGTTTTGACTTTTCAGTCAATATACAAAAGAACATCGGATAAAACTTTAAAAATACAAGCTACTTAAGAACAAACTTACCTCATGAAGTTTTTGAAATAAAGGTTGAAACAGATCAGTATCATAATTTGACATGGACCCTTGAAGTACTGCAACTAATCTTTCTAAACCCATGCCTGTGTCCACATGCAAATTTTGCAAGGTCTCTAGACTTCCATCTGCTTGTCTAGAACAAATGACAGGAAACCTCTTTCAATGATAATTTTGGAAAATTGTTTGTCATGATAGACAATTTTTATTTATGAATCTTCTGCTTTAGCTACTTATCTGGGTTGTGACCCATTAAGATGTGAATGAACAATTTGAATGGATTAAAGAGCACCACCCAGTTTTTGCTAACTTATTTGATAGGTTACCCGAGCATGTTATCAGTTTGATTTTATTAGGTGTAATTTTTAGGTAAATCACATAGATGAGTGATGTAATGTACTTTTAGTTGTTTGTTTCTTTTCTTCCCCTTTAAGACTTCTATCAACTATTTGAATAGATTCAAGAAGGGTTTCTAGGATTTGCCGACTTATTTGCTAGGTCAACTCTGTGTGTTATCAGTTATGTAGAAGTAAAAGGCTTCTTTTTATCTTTCTTTTCATTATGTATGGTTTGTTTCCATTATTTAAATGTTACTGTACAATTTTCTTCCTTAACATGATAGGTTACTGAATAGAGAACAGTGTTGCAGTCTTGTTTGTCTATTACGTACCAGCATTCTCAAGTTTGTGGTTTTTTTATGTTTCTTCGAAAATACTGGAGTCCACATTCACAAGAGATGTTGTAATGGTGATTTTGCTCTTCAGTGGACGTTTAGGTGGTTTGATGTGTACTAAATATTTTCATACTTGTTGTGGTTTCCAATACTGTTGTATCTTTATGCTGATTACATATCATTTGTATGTTTTCAAGCAGACATTTGAAATAGGGAATATAGTGGAATATCTGTAATTTTCTTCCTACATATTCTTGTGTTTGCCTTCTTTATCAAGTGTTCAAGGTATTTACTGTCAAGTACGGTTGTTGTGATGCATTTTTCTTCATTCTTCTTAGCATTCTACATAATACAAATCTTTCCATTCTGGAGATTAGGCCATCAAGGTATTTATCAGTATCTGTGGGTTGCCTGTAATATATGGTGGTGTACAAGTAACATATCTTGTAACAATCACATGAGAGTTTCATGGAATAGCTTTTGTTCAGGTGTTTTTTAAGGTCTTGAATTTTGTCTGTAGTGTGTGACCATATTACAAATGTATTGTGAACATATCTGAATCAAATCACAGGTCTAAGAGTGGTTATTTTGATAATGTTAACGTCAAAATTTTCCACTGAAGTTATACAATACTTGCTTTCTTCTTGTTTGTGGTGTTTATCTTAACATTGGAAGTAATTTGTGGTGACACAAAAGATATATAGCTGAATGGTGACATTAGGAATCTCTGCAGTAACTGAATGGAAAGGGTAGCCTTGTTTGTGAATTTTAGGTAGATCATAGATGAGTGGTGCATATTTTTCATGTTTTTTGAGAATTTGGTAATTTTCATCTGTAGTATTAGCAAATGGACTAGAACTGACCTTAATACAGTGATCATCTTTGACTAAAGTTCAGAGCTGGATATACTATTCTCTATCAGTGGTTACAGTAGTATTATCTTTCTTTATAATAGTTGGAGATGGCTTGAATGGGTAATGAAGAAAAGTTTAATATAAGTTTAACATAACAGCAAATGTACAATGTTTCAACAAGGTTTTGTCATCATCAGGTCATCTTTTGTCATCTTTCTTTGCTGTTGGAATTGTTAAGGTGTTGTCCATGAGGACAGTTTGATCTATTTAGGTAGTATAATAATAGTCTTCTGTGGTTTTAGCTACATCTAGGATGAATAATATTTTGCTATGTGTTAAATCAAAATTTAGCTCTTTTTAAATTTGTTACTGTGTTGAGCATTAATGTACTAATAAGAGGCTTCCTGTTTTGAGAGCAGATACAGTTTCTTCACATTAACTTCCTAAGAAGATGAATGTTTGATGGTGTAAAGTTTGAATAGCTGTGCATATCTTATACAAAGTTAATAATGTCATTGTGTTACCTACCTTAAAATAAAGACAGTTAATTTTGTTATGTGTCTTGCTTATAAAAAAGTACTTTAAAACCATCATTTCTCAGTTTGTAGAAAATTTTTTAATAAATACGAGAAATAAGCAATTATTATAGAATTAGTCCCTAACCATCAAAACTCACTGGGCTGACGAAAAACACTTTCTAAAAGAAACTATTAATATCAGTATAATAACAAACTCCAGATAAGATGGGTATTTTAATACTACTTCTTTCTATTCCTTCTGATATGCCTACATTAATACATGTGCATGACAAGATGGAATTGTTATGCTACTTTCTTCTATTCCTGGTGATACCAGTACAATTATGAGTTCCTGATAAGACAGAGATTAAAATTACATTTTTCTATTCTTGGTGATATCACTATATTTATTAGTGTTTCAAGGGTCAGGTACTGTACTGTTACTTTAATCTATTCCTGGTGATATCACTATATTTATCAGTGTTTCAAGGGTCAAGTACTGTACTCTTACTTTCATCTATTCTTGGTGATATCACTATATTTATCAGTGTTTCAAGGGTCAAGTACTGTACTCTTACTTTCATCTATTCTTGGTGATATCACTATATTTATCAGTGTTTCAAGGGTCAAGTACTGTACTGTTACTTTCATCTATTCTTGG